GTAGACCTGCCGGATTTAATGTCCCAACATAAAAAAAGCCTCTCCCTTCCAAAGTAAGTCTAATTCCAACATCCTGTTTCATGCTGAAACATGTTGAATTAAATTAAAAACCATTACCATCCAAAACCATTTTGAGGGATCTTTAAGTATATTCCATTACTGCTTGGTATTTTCCAACGTAGAGGCAAAAACAGGATAAATCAAACAGGGGTGAATCAGGGGAAATGAGTTAAATCTGTTTTTAAAATCTCGACTGTGCGGTGGAGAAATTCTAAAACAAATATCTCCTTTCAAAGTCTCTATAAAGAGACCGTGGAGATACAGTTTTAAGGGTTTGCACTCACAGATAAATAACACGAGAAAAATACATTCCAGGATGTTTCTTATGATTCTGGCTGATACGGTTACATAAATCCAGATAGGTGAGTGAGATATTTTAGAGTTGGGGTATAGAGTGGCCGAGGGGTGAAGACTTAAACTATTTTGAACTCACTTGCTCTATTTGACACTGTGAGGAACATGTCAATCCTGTTTTCTTGGCCGGATTATTACCAAGGGCAGGGGGGAGAGCCAAGAGCACACAGGAGGTGGTTGCAGTTTGTGTGCTGACATAAATATGGAATTATAGTGTACACATACACACACACAGTTAAATTTGGCCTCGTGTTTCAGCTGGTGTGTGGTTTTGTTACCACCTGGTGCAGATACACAATAAACATGTGCGCACACTTTAGAACTTGTGTCGTGTGTCGTACAATTTTGGTTTAGACATTTATAGGACCCGCTGTTATAAAGTGACTTCTACAACAACTTTATTATCCTGTAAGTCCACCAGCTGAAGAAGTCGTCAGTAATTTTTGTGACTATTAACATGGAGCCTCTCCCATTTACAGTTGTGTCATGCTTTCCACTGGTCCTCCAAACGTCCCCACGCTCAAAATGGCAAGTACAAGCGTCAGGCAGAAACGAACAAGGCCACAGTCTAAACTCTGCCACCCAATTAACTGACACCCGCTGTGAGACAGCCAACATTTACGAATCGGCCTCATTTGATTTGTTGAGAATTCAGCATTTTACGCATTAAACAGCACTCGACAAATGTCTGGTCTGAAAAAGGAAAATTCTAATCACTAATGTATAAATAAATCTGAATCCTTACATTTACAATTCTGTCTCCGTATCCGGGAAAAACCTAACGTACAATCTTTCATTTTTTCTGTGTACATCCTCATCTGAAGCTGCCGTGGCTCACAGTCCACTGAGCTGCACACAAATACACACCAGGCTACACAGCACTGCTCTCTGACACACAAAAAATATCCACTGGATCACTGCTTTTACTGTATGATTAAGACCCTTTTTGTTTTATTACCATTACAGAGCATCCTTTCAAACGAGGCCAGTTTTATGAACAGGGAAACCCCTAATTCAACGTGACTTTTCAGTTTTTCTAGCCGGGCACGATCTTTTCATTTGGTTTCTCATGGTTTCAAATATTGAACACATGAAGGAAACTTTAAAGAAGAACCAGACGAGGGAAACAACAACTGTGATCAAACTAACATAGAAGACATGCTGATACATAAGCTACCGAACTCCTGTTTATTTCCTACTAAAGGTCTTTGTATCTAGATAAATATACGGGTGGCGGAGTTGGAGGCACCTTGTCCTCGTCTTTAATGGGTCACACGTATTTTTTGAAGGGTAATTAACCCATTACGGGATCTATCTGGTGAAGCCTGATCCAACCGGTCTGCAGACTTCAAACAGCGGTGGCTGGGTCTAGACAAGCGAAAACTGGGCGTTCAGTAACCTAAGTAGACCTAAAACATAATGGCGACGACTACACGGCATGGACCTCTGCTTTAGTTTACACTGTTTGTGCTTGACCTCCTTGTTCACTCCGAGTGTCCATTTCCTCCACAAAAGCCCGACAGGTTGTGTGTGGTTGTACAGATACACCACTGAGAAATGTGTAGTGAAACGGAACACTGGCTGAACGGAGCGAGCGGCCCGGGCGTCAGTTTCCCCGTTCGACAAAAGGCCTGATTTTACCAAAAGTACACAACTGGAACTTCTGGAATACTTCCAATATATTTAATAAGTAATTTAGAATGGCATTTAGAAGAGAACAAATACACTTAGCCTCTAAAAACCAGTCTCCTCAATAAGCTTGAGTTTTTTTCATCAAGATCTATAAATGATCCCCTGAGAAATCAGAGAAAATGTCAAAAACTTCGTATCTCACAAAGTTAAAAAAATAGAGAATCGTAATGAGTTCGACACCTGACCCGCGAATCCAAACCAAAATGTAATCGTTTCTTCCCTCACTCATATCACATCCTTCCACAAAGTTTTGTGGAAATCTGTCGTGTTATTTTTGCAAAATCTTGTTCATAAGCAAACAAAAAACCAACAAAGAATCACACAGGTAAGAAATATTCTTTTCTATTAAATACAATTCAGCAAAAATGATTCCGTTCCACATGAGCAGATTTACTAACATACACATAAATATACTTAAAGGTCTCACTAATAACTAAAGAAAATATAATTTAACGCAACTTTTCAGAGTATCTGACAACAAGTGAAGTTAAACATTTAAAGTGTTTCATGCTCTGACAGCCACGTCGCCGTAAATTACAGATTTTCTTTTTCATCACAGCTTCGGGTGTGCGACTGACTTGATGGAAAATTCCCATAACAAGCCAGACGAGTATAATTCCTGGGAAAGCTGGAAAAAGACGAGTCGTAGATGTTGCCACGTCACATTAGGAGCTTAGAGGTGTTAAAAGTATGTTCCACACGTTCCCACCGGGACGGAGTCGAGTGATTCATGCTGAGGACACATATCAGCCTCGACAATAAACAAAGAGTCTCCCGAGACGGAAGCTTCCACGTTTTAAGTATTCACTGTTGCTAATGAAGGGAATGGCATAATTCAGGGAAATTGGACACAGTGATTAGACACAGAAACGCAGGCCTTGTTTTGCACAAACACCAACAGGTTGTTCTTTATATTTCATTTTAGTTTTGAGGAGTATTAAACATGGCACAGGACACGCGTGGAGCTGCTCCTTAGTATTTGGGAGTTTGTTTCTCGAACCTCAGCATGTTTGCTTTTAAACTGTCGAGCATCGGACGAGTTTCACGAGTCCTCGGAGCCTTGAAGCTGTCACGGCTGTAGCTGCGGCCCTGAAACACACCGAGAATGTGACGATTTTGACGAAGAGCCCGTCAGGTTCTTCGCGGCGCAAATCAGACCGACCTCCTGGTTTTGACGAGCGCCCCTGAAGTGCACGTCTACCCAAGCCAACAACTCCACATGAACGCGACTCAATCAACAGCTTCCACGAACACACAAAAGCTACCGACGGGAAGACTCGGAGACGTCGCGGAGGACAGCTGACAAGATGAACTCCTGCAGAGTGAGACGCGCGGTTTTAACTGTTATTTATTCCTCTTCTCAATTCAAAGCGCCCTCTGTTTTAAATGGACAGCGTTAAGGCGAAAGCGGCACTGAGGCCTGTCCTCGGAGGCACGGTCCAAATTCCAGGGAATCTTGGCAACTCCTCGGGATAGATGGGACCCTCATGGATATAAACCCCCACAATGGATGAATAGGTAAACAGAGGGGTGTGAAAGAGTGATGGCGAAAAGAGAATGTTCACTCTCAGAGAGGCACAAAGAGGGAGGTGTGTGAGTGGGAGATGGGAGAGAGCCAGAGCGTTTTGGGGGGAGGAGAGGGGGTGAGTAGGGTCAGCCCCGGGGGGAGTTGTCGGTGAGCGAGAGTAAAAGTTTTGTCTCTGGGCTTTTAGTGGGTGCTGTGTGCAGCGTTAACTCAATCAGAAGGTGAATTACACCTCCTGAGACACTCAGGTAACCTTTCATTATGGCCCTAATCCTTCTTAATAACAGAGCTGCGATGTCGGCGATGCCCCATTAGACAGAGAAGCCACGGAGACACAGAGCTTATTCCCCACCGGCCTGCGGAACTGTGAACACACAACACTCACTCACACACACACACACACACACACTGACAGATGAAATCAATCACAAATTCAACTTGGACGAGGGGGGGAAAAAAAACTGAGCCCACTGAGGACCGAGGAGAGAATGTGCTTTCATCCAAAAGTTTCTCAAAAGTTTCTCTTCTGTTGATAAAAATGTGCTGACTCTTTCCAATATTTAGGGCTGTGAACAAAATTAATTTAAAAAAGGAAAAAAAATTTTTTTTTTTTTCCACAAATATCATAAACTTTGTTGTAAATCTATTCAGTAAAATATTCTTCTTTCAACTTCTGGTTTAGTACTTTCTAAACAGTGCACAAATCTAAACTAAAGTTTGGCAGTTTCACTGTTTAAATTAGATGTTAATTATGATTTAATACACAGTGTCAGAAAAATCCCCTTTAGTAACCTAATTATTAATTTGATTAATATCGTCTAGTAAAAGTTATGAAGTAAGTCTCAGACAGGAAATAAAGTCTCATTTAAAATAACAGCACAGAAACTTTTCTGAAGTTTCCCAAGCAGTTGAACTAATGAGGTATTAATTCAAAATTACAATTCATGGAAATTATTCCAATACTCTGGTTTATCTCTGTGTTTAATTCCTCAGAGGACTCAGTCAGGGCTCTGATCACAGTCACTTAAAGGCAGTCAACTCTAAAACCAGCAGCCTGATATGATCTAATGAAAGCACAGTGGATGTAATAAATCATCAGAGCAGCAGCAAGTGAGATGTTAAATAAAGATTTCTGGGTCATGGAGACTAGAATCTGTTTCAGATGTGTAGTTGTAGAAATTTTTTGGGGAAAAAAAAAAAACATAATTTATCATCGTGACAATTTAATACAGAGTCGAGCCAAGATTTTAAAAATATATGTAATTAATTTAGTCAGTTTGATCATGTGGATTTCAGCTCGTGTAAATAATGTTGGTGGGTTAACACAGTGTTTGAACTCAGTTTGCAGGGATCTCCTCCTCGCGCTCACCTGTACCACTCCAGTCCGTTCTCGTAGTTGCGGTCGAAGAAGTGCGGCTCCGCTCCCACGGCTCTGATGTCCGGATGAACCCGGAGAAACTCCAGCAGAGCCCGGGTGCCTCCTTTCTTCACCCCGATGATGAGAGCCTGCGGCAGCTTCTTGCTCCCTTCCCCGAGCGGACTGAGTTTACCCGCGAACCTCGGCGACACTTTCCTGGAGGCGACTAGATCCGGAGGCGGCAGGAGGAGAGACTCCCCGGCCAGCGGGTCTGCGAGGACCGGCGAGGAGCGCGCGGACCCCGGGGTCCATTCGTACACCAGCCGCTTGGTCCTCAGCGACCTCAGGTCCTCGAAGAGCCGCCCGGAGGAGGCTTGGCCCGGTGAGGTGGAGGCAGAGGCGGGGGTGATGGTGCAGCAGCGGTCGGTGAGGCAGTGCAGGAGGAAGAGAGAGGCGAGGAGGGAGCCGAGCATGACCGCCGCTCTCCGGAAGATGCCGCGGGACGGGGCGTCCAGTTTACGGATGCGGCTAAAAGCCATACCGGTCCCTGGGTGGTCGCTGCTGGAGCCACAGCCATGCTAGGCGCACATCGCTCAGCCTTCTCTCCATGAGGAAACCGAAGAGAGAGACTTGATCCACGGTTGTGCGGTGAATGGAAAACACGTCTGTCTCCCGCCAGCTCCAGAATCAAACTGGAGCTTTATGGTACCTGCTGCGCACAGGTGAGGAGGCAGACTTTCACAATAAAAGCGCACAGGTGCTTTTTTTCTTTTTTTTTGGGACACAGTGAGAACCTCTCCTCTCCTTCCTCTCTGATCACTCCACCGTCACCCTGATGCACCAGCTGCACGTGTGCACAGTTGTAAACTTGTCTCACACGTCAGGATGCTGGACGGACACGTCTCTGGCCAATGGGATGAAGGCAGAGGAACCCGGGAGCCAATGATGATCCAGGTAGGCGGGGACACACTCAGCATCCCAGCCAAATTAAAAGTGAATCTTCCAGGCACTAAAAAAAAGTTGTGATTAAATAATGCAGAATGAAACACGACTGAGGCACATGTGCAGACCTGCTGAGATCTGCACATTTCATCTATGGCCCCTGCACAGGAATAAACATAAATCACAAGCTCTGACAAAAAACACAATAACACATCACAAAAAAAAGTATAAAACTCACACAATGATTAAAGTTTCTTTTTCCTGTGCACAGAAATAGACACATTCATTTTACGCACTAACAAATACACTTCAATTCACGATAACCAACACAAAAACTTGGCTCCAGGAAGACGAGGATGCCCTCGAGGAACATTCACAAAATAAAATGATAGTTAAATATTGCAGAAAGAGCTCAAACAGATTCGCAAACGTGCTACAAAATTGTTGAATATTCACATTTCAATACATTTATTTCACAGACATCACTGACATCTTATTTTCATGCGCATAAGAATGGAACTATTCATTTTAAGCACTAACAAATACACTTAAATTCACAATAACACACATTACAACACACAGTATAAAGTGTAAAACTGGCACAAGACATAATTTACATCTATTTTTAAACCATCACCTGAGCACAGGAATGTACATTTGAATTAAAATCAATAATAAACAGCTGGAATTCACATAAAAGTGCATAAAAGTGCAAAACTCACACATGAAACAAACTGTGCAGAGCAGCATGTAGGAGCTGCTGTTGTGCTCACAGGGGTAATTTTAGAGATGTTTGTTTAGCGCACCGTCCCCACAACTTTCCACTGTAGCTGCTTGTTTTGACGAATTATTCATCAGATCTTTAAAACATGAGCGAGACCATTTTCTGCCGCCGAGAGAATCCACAAGCGAGCGGCTTTATGTCGGCCCACCAAAGACGATGGCCTCCGCCATGAACTCATTTTTATGACACGTAGAAGAACAACAACAAAAAAAAGAGCGACAGAACGATAACCGGCCACATTATTTCTTTACAAGTGAACAAGAACAGAACCAAATGTTTCACATCTGCTGCTGCCTTTTGAGTATTAGCATGAGAATATGCCGACAGTGCTTCAATGCTGCACAGCTCACTGCTTTAGAAAGAGGATGGAGACCTCAACACTGGGTTGTATTGCCGCTGCCAGATGTCCCCCATGTTGTGGAAACAATACGAGGGAGGGAAGGGGGTGTCCTGCATTTAACAAGTCGCACCCCGTGTCTTTTCTCTGTCCCCCTGACACTGGAGAGATGCTCAACCCCCTCAAACAACCGCGAAGACACCCACCGTCCGATCCCCTCACAAAGGTCAGATGGCTTCACACTCCAGCTCAAATCCTGCTGCATAGCGATGCTTAAAAAGAGTCACAGCCTCTTCATGCCATGAGATAATGCAAAATACTTTCCCTTCTTCTTTCTCCTCCAGGTTTTAGTAGTTAGTGAAAGTTTTACAGAGAGGTGGCAGAAGTACTCTGAATATTTATTGTAGTAAAACTATTAATATCACAATATAAAAAAAATCTACATTCAAAGTCTGCATGACTGAAAATAATGAAAGTTGTCATCATGCGGACCGGCCACATTTCAAGTGTTATACTGTCTCTCTCTCTGTTTGTGCCTTTTTATATATATATATATATAACACTGTACAGCAGTACTGCAATGTATTCTCAGTCCTGCCAGAAGTAAAACATAATACATCATAATGCAAAAACTGACCTTATGTGAGTTATACTGTTATTATGTTTATTATACACAAGTTATATACAATTATTATTATCATGTAAGGCAGTTAATTAGTGGACGACCCGCTCTACCCTCTGAGCCACAGCCACCCCAATGATCATCTGCCTCAAATGAAATCTGGTAGTTGTGTGAATATATTCGCCTCCGACATGTATAAATAGCACAAAATGAAAATGATTCAGCGATACGTCAAAACTGAACTAAAGTAAATGTATTAAGTTACTTTCCACTTCTGACTGTGCTCCTTAATGCCTCACAAATTTATTATAACTGAAACAACGTGAGAAAGAAAAATCACTTTGGCTCAACTGCCCACACGTCAGAGATATATCACATTTATATGGGGTTGTGGAAAGGGTCAGACGTGGCTTCATTTTCAGAGGACGTACTCAAACTGTCAGCCAAAAAAAAAAGCCAGGAACTGCTGATAAAGGCCATTGATTAGTTTAATAGCACTGTTGTGCTCGGTGGCGTCTGTGCAGGGACTCTAAATCTGGGGCGTGCCTTTGTGCAATGTGCCCATTTTCAGTCGGGTTTTAATGTTTGTGCAGCGACACATACTTCCATTAAAAAAAAAACAAAAAAAAACAGCATTTAGTGTGTAATTACACACCCAGACATCGGTGCTTTTAGAAAAATGTGCAAGCAGTCTCGAAGGCATGTAAAAACGTAATTCGGCTTTCATCTTCACTATTTATCCAAATTGCAGCGCTATGGTTACACTGACGCAGCCGTTTTGGAATCTTGGATGCGGAGTTGGGGTTTTAAGTTTAAAGGGAGCGCAAACACAAACCGTTTATTATTGTTTGAACACAATGTTGCATTCACTTTGCATATTGAATAAATTCTCAGGGCATGCCATGGGAAAGCGAGCGTGTGCCAGGATGAAGCCAAATAAGGAGCAGCAGAATTAGCTGAGTCCGAGCGTTGCTTCGTAGAAACGTATGGACCGTATGCATTAAGCGTTCTCCGATGCAACATCAACAGTGTGAATCGAGTCATGCACAAACTGTTTCCACTGCTGAGCTGGCCAAGTATTTAGACTGAGCGTCTCAGCCATGCACATAATCTCCAGACAGGTTTATGAACTGAGGTTTGGGAGCTGTCACTTTGGAGGAGACATCTTTACTACCTATATTATGGCTTTACGTTTCTCGACCTGAAACCTGTGGCGATAGAATCCTACCTTTTTTTATTTTTTATTTTTGGGACAATATTCATCCTCACCTTTGGACAACTCGTCTGGTTTTGTGGCATACAAATTCAAAACTTAACCTTAATGTAAGATATTGAAATGTTAAGAAAAACCTACAAGGCTCTGTGGGGCAACAACATGGTTTTGAAACAAATGCCGCTTGTTGAAAAAAAAACAGATTTACACGTGGAAATTGTTTGGTTTTTATTTTATGACATGTTCCTCGAACTACCATCACACATTTCCAAACAAACCTCTGGCTCCAGTCGTTTGTCTCCTACAACCATCTCATCTTGAGTCGACCTGAAGTAGCGTTGCCGACTTAAAAGCTAAATTAAGAAAATAAGAATACACAGAACAATACTTACCACCCAGATTCTTCAAACCTACTGTATATTCACTGTACTTGTACATAAGTATATCGTGTGTGAGCTGTGACTCTGTATTTACCCAAACAGGGTGTATTTTTTTCACAGCGAGAGGAAATGTACTCGCTGTATATACACAGCTGTTGGCCATTCATCGAGGCCGGGCTCTTCAGCCTCATTGGCAGGCCGCGCGCTGAACAGGAAGAGTTTCTATTGAGCACGGAAACACAAATAAATCCTGCTCTTAATCAGATTAATGTTCATCTGAAGTGGGCCGTTTCTCCAAATAGTCCCAAAATGTCCATATACAAACTAATTTGAGCAAAAGCACACAAGGAATTACGCTCCGATAACGCTTTATCTCCAGAGTTTTGTTTACTGAGGGGGGTGAGACGTGATGGACGCTTTCTAACATTTGTTAGGAAGAGATTCAGCTCCAATTTAGTTTGTTTCAATTAGCAAGAAACACAAATCTGCATAAATATATTTACAAATAAACACATTTTACACCTGTATTCATATTTCCAAAAGTTTTAACAAATATAAATCAGTCTAGTTTCAAATACTCATCGATATCAGTCCCCTAAACAAATCAGATTTTTAAAACCAAGATTCATGGATTAACTCAATGAGAAATCAGTGTAAATATAAAAAAACGCACCCTATCTCACAATGTTTCACAAAGAGATAGAACAATTGTTGGATCCACCCCCTGATCAAGATCCACACCAATATCTAATAGCTTCTTTCCCGACCCACAACACGTCACACCTCCAAGCTTTGTAGAAATCTGTCCGGCGGTTTTGGCAAAATCCTGTTTACAAACAGGCCCATCAACAAACGGACCGGGGTGAATTCATGGATGATACGGAGGCGTCTAAACTCAGCGAGGGGTAAAGAACGTGTATTTACAGTCTGTGCGATGCCACTTACACTGTGGCCTGTGTGTGGTGGTTTACAGTTTGTGTCACATTCCTTCCTCCGAGAGGCAGCAGGATGCAGCTGATCACGAGCCAGGCAGCAGGAGGAGCGAAAGGGAGGAAGGAGCTGTGTGTGCGTCTGTGTATCCATCACTGCGGGCCAGTTAATCAGGTTCCTCCACAAGCTGGTGTGGGCACAAAGAAGGTTAATGGCACATATGGCTTGCTGTGTTGTATCGCAAACAGGAGAGCGATTGTCCAAATTAATCTCCACTAGGAAAATAATGTAGTGGTGACTCAGTGTCAAGCCAAAGCATGAAACTCAAGCTTTTAATGCTGCACATGGGAAATTTTACTCAGGAGCTGAAAAATCTGGTTTGTTTTAAAGTAAGATATTTATTGAAAGCCAATGAAATATCAAAGTATTTCTCAATGATATGAAATATTCATGACGAAAACAATCAAAGTTAAAGATCAGAGAAAAAACGACTAAAACGTTGCACGAGGAGTGAAGCAAACAACCCCCACAACTGTGAACACGTCTCAGTGGGATATAACAAAATATCGATCAGTGCCAGAAGTACATGGTTCTGACTTTTCCCAACTGTGTGATGTCCAAAGACTCCTCACATTAAGCCCACAGACATTTATCATTAAACCCATGTCACCTTCTGACCCTGCGTCGTGCCCTGGGACCG